TAACCCTGAAGAAGGAACAGGCCCATCTGAAGTGGAGGGCTTTTGACAACTCTTCATCCTCAGGGGTCAAAGGTCAGTGCGAGAGAGCGCCTCCTGGGAACACTAAAGCTTGTCCTTTTGAGGCCGTACAATTAAGGTTCGTGGCCATGGTGACGCCTCTACCCTGTTAGGGAGGACGGAGAGAATTGGACAGGGTGAAAGAGAGATTTGAGTCCATCTCAAAAAGAGCAGTTCTGTAGAAACTACAGGGAGTCTTACAGAAAACAACACACCATTACGATTAGTTCAACGTGAATGCACACAAAAATGTGCAGAATTCGGGGCCGTTCACAACAAGATCCATTCTTGAAATAAACAGCAAGAGGTCTCAAAGACTCAAAACGTGGTTTTTTTTTTTCGACCTTAGCAACTTTTAATTTAATGCTCCCTCAAAACACTAGAGATGCTAAAAACTTACCAACCAGCAAGTTCTTTGTATTTTCTATGCCTTATATTTCATCAAAATATATGCCAGCAATGGAAAACAAAGCTTATCAAACTAGCATTTCAATCCCAGATCCACATGCTTTAGCACAAATTAACATACTACTTGTGCTATTGCTGCATATGAAGGTTGTGTGATAGTAGTATGCAAATGTTCCCTATGCCTGGATTACACAGATCACCTTTTACATTCGCCAAAACGTGCCATATTAAACAGACCGCGTGATTTAGTGTCGACTTGACTTGGATTACCACAGAGACAAATGAAACCGGAAATAACAAGTTATATTATCTCTCTTGAATCATTATTAGATCAAATTATGGAAAAAAAATGTATACATGCTTGAACATCCCTTGCTGAATGAAACATGCAATATACTCACTAGTTCATGTGACAACAATGTAGCATTACATTTGCAAATTTAACATACTATCCGTCCTGAATAGTATTCGCAAACTATCCGTCCTGAATAGTATTCGCTATTCGCTAATTCGAAAAACTACAAACATGGCCACGACTGGCAGATCGATAAGTGCGACTACATTTTTTCCGAAACAGTAGGAAATTAAATATTAAATTGAATGTGAAGGATTAACTGTGACAGGATGATTGACAGGGCAGTTTAAACGCTGACAGTCTGCGTGTAACTAAGTGACAGAGCTGTCCGCAGTATAGGCAGTTGTGTGATGATGAAGCATGTCCCAAACCCAAAGCTTGCCTATTATTCTGCTACACACTCAAAAGTGTGTTTTTCTTCACAAAAACAGTACTTTTAAGGCATAGTAGAACTGGGATGCAGGAATTAGGATTAGTCTGATTTTAGGCATTTACTGATAGGTCTGTCATTATCGTCCAGACTCCGCCCACTTACAGCATCGCTGCTCGCATCACAATGAGGGCGTCTAGACCCCAAAACCAACCAGACAGTAAATTCCTCTGGAGATTTTTAATCAGCACAGGCTGGGAAGGGTGAGTGGTTTTGTTGAAATGTCAAGGAAACCCACAGTCACATCTTATTCTGGTTAATTTGTAATTACCCATTGGTTACGGCTGTTGAAAACCGGGTTAATCTCATAAAACCTGTCTAGAACATGTTTGGGTCAAATTTCACCCTAAAATTAACAGTATTAAAAGTAAAAAAAAAAAAAAAAAGAAAATTGAGCCTGGCTGTTTTAATACATACATTTGCACTGTAGAGTTATTTCCATGGCAATAAAGCAAATTTACTCCCAAATTCTAAGTATTGTAAAGTGAAAAAAAAAATAATTACATATTATTTTAACTGTAAAGTTTATACATAGGCCTAATGGTAGTGTTTTTATACTGAATTTAATGCATTCTTTAATTTTTTTTATTCCGTGAAATATAATGATTTTTAATTTTTGTATAAACATTTGAAATGTTATTTTACAGTAATTTGGGAGGGAAATATTTGTGCATAAATATTAATGAAAATAATGTCACAATGCAAAAAAATACAGATATAATTCCATATAGAAAAACAAGCAAATCATTTAATTTTGGGGTGACATTACAAAAAAATATATATAATCTTATTTGACATTTTTAAAGAATTTTGTGACATTCATCAAACTTCTGTAAATTCAAACTTAACATTTAGCTTTAACTGTAAAAAGCATAATATCCTTCTGCTTGGATTTGATTCACAAGCCCAGAATCCAGCTCAACATAAGCACATAATACATGGATAACCTATATTTATGTTTTTTTATCAGGGTCAGTGCTAATCGCCTGGCCTAACAGAGAAAACTTCAGTTAACATACACACACGCGATTTCCACATAATCCCATCCGATCTCTAACAGAGCTGATAAAAAAGAAAGAAACATAAAGCCCTCGTGCGACAGTCACAGCCAGATATGTCCGATCAGAGAACACGTTCTTTTGAACCGATTTTGTTTTTAAAAAATTCAAAATAAAACATTTGTAAAGGGATGAATCTGTAAAGTAGTAAACGATTTGGGGGGAAAATAATATTAGCAAAAATACACTGACGTTGTTAAAGTTAAAATACTTTCAGTAATATCCCATTGATCCACCCTACATCATCGCAGCCCCGGGGCAAACACAGAAAGGGGTAAGGCTTGTTTTAAGGACTTTGGCTCTGGTTCACCAGCAGGGCATCTCGAGGTGATGTAATACACCCACAGGGGGATACTGTACACCCCTGACAGATGAACCACCCTGAACCTCAGTCACGCCCGGGTCACGTGACCCCCCCTCCAGACCTTCAGCAGGCACTGACAGACACTGGCTGCCCTGTTGTGATCTCAGAACACAGATGGACGCTTATGCTCTTCATCGTGTTTAATTGACTGAAACAATGGGAGAAAGAGCATTACTCCACGCTTCAAATCAATCCAGCCTTTGTGGATCTCAGCAGAGATTATGAGGCCGTTAGAACTGGGGAAAAATGTAAGATGGCTACAGACATTCCTGACAGGGAACAGAAGCGTTTCACTATAGGGCTGTTTGACATGCCACAGATACTTCTGTAACAGATTAGCTATTGTAGAAACAAATAATTTAGAGTGAACAGTTAATCATTTTTACTTTTCATATCTATATAATCAATTTCTATAAGTCTAAATTATTTAGCATGCAAGAAGAAATGTTTTTATATAGTATTTATTTTATACTCAAATTATAATTTATTATATTAATTGTGTTAAATATCTTTTATTTACTTATAAATATTTAGCTTTTTTATTAAAGCAAGATTATATCTACTATCTTTGGCAACGGACGTAACAGCACAAGTTTACTTTCATGATGAGTAACACATCCATTACACAAAAAATACCTCTGGGCAAAAATGATCTCATTGTGTTTCATATGGATATGATTCATCAAAATGGCCGTGGCAGGCAAAAAAAATCCTGAGCAAGCACAATCTGCATCCCACAAATGTGAACAAAAAGAGAAATGTTTGTAGTATTAAATGTCATCTAATTGTTTTTCATTAACAAATTTGGTGTCGTAATCAGTGTTGGATGTATACACCTAATTAATTACTGTAATTGAATTACTTTTCACTTAAAAAGGTAATGTAAAGGGATTACTCGATTTTTGTAATTAGGCTACTTTTCACTTAAAAGTAATTAGGGGATTACTCTTATTTTTCTGTAAATTAATTACTTTCCCTCAAAAAGCTAAAGTACGGAATTACTGTTATTTTTTGTAAATTAATTACGTTTCCCTTAAAAATGTAAAGTAAGAGATCAGTCTTAGGTTTTCTGTAATTTAATTACAGTTTCTTCTGATTAGGGCTGTCAAACAATTAATCGCAATTAATCGCATCCAAAATAAAAGTTTATGTTTACATAATGTGGGTGCACTGTGTATAATTATTTTATATATATAAATACACACACATGCTTGTATATATTTAAGAAATATTTTCATGTATATAGATTTATATATCATTTATATTATATATAAATATAATTAATATAATTATTTTATTTATAAATAATATTTTTCTTAAATATACATGCATGTGTGTGTATTTATATATATATATATATATAATTATACACAGTGCACCCACATTATATTATGTAAACACAAACTTTTATTCTGGATGCGATTAATCGCGATTAATCATTTGACAGCCCTACTTCTGATGTAATGGTATTAAAAACTGTATAGACAATAGAATAATTCTATAGTAGATTAAAACGTAAAATGCCTGTTTTGTATGTAACCTTCTCCCTTTAAATACTTTTGCCAGTTCAAGAATAATTTATGCAATTTTATATTATTTATTAGGAAGAATTAAAAGACCAGTTTTGAGTCTATCCTTGTATTGTTCAACTGGTCAAGGTTAAGATAATATGGGATTTAGTAATATGTAATGCAATACTTTTTAGAGAGAAATCTAATTACACTAAAGTAATCTAATTAATACAATACAGTAATCCGATTACATTGCCGGCGATTTTTAGTAGCTAATAAATACTTTTTTAAAATTAACTTACCCAAGCCAACACTGGTTGTAATATAATGACAACATGTTTTCAATATATTCAATAAATACAAAAATAGATTCCTATCCAAATGGATAAATATTTAGTAATCACCTTTTACGGTTCTCATACACAATGTCCATAAGGGAGCAAAATCACCCAGTGAATAGTCAGGAAATATGGCATAATGCATCTCTAAACCTGAAGATATTTTCAAAATCAAAATCTGGACGTCACAGACGAAATTTAGACGACGTTCAGATCAAGCTAGTCACAATAACAGAACCTTCAAACCCTTAAGATAAAAAAACCAAGAACAAGCACCTATAATCCTGCAGCTCTCACACTCAGGTTTAAAAATATGACATAAAGCTTATTTCACTTGCAACAGTCTAAATTATTCAAGTTCATCAAAGCACCAAGCACAACCACAAGCTTCCACAACAACAAGCTCCATGGCAACCCTGGTTTCTGCGGCACCTTCTCTAAATCCCAGCAGTTTAAGAGAGGGAAGGAGCGGCTCGTACCTCCATGGCCAGCGCGGCCGTCTGCTGGTCGTAGTGGTTCAGGAGGTTGGGCATGAAGGTGGTGTTGTAGGGCAGATCCTGGCACATACGCAGACCGATCGACTCGCAGGTGAACATGCTGTGAGCGCCCACCGCCGAGTCCATGTGGATGCCCAGGCTGCTCGTGAACAGGGACAAGAGCAGCAGAGCCCCAAAGAGCCACATCCCTTGGGAAGGTAAATCCATGTTTGAACGGCAGGAACACGAGCACAAGGGTTTCTCCTCTACGCAGAGATCCGCCACACCCATAGCGTGTAAGGTAAACCGCTACGATCGACTGCTTCCATGCTCTTCCTGTTCTGTCAGATGGTCCTCGTGGATATACCCGTCTGGGGTCAGTGCACGCTTTGATCAGACCCCTTATGCATCCTCTCACATGCATACAAGACTACAGAATGAATGAGAAACTGTCTTTGGTCAGGGTGGTCTTCAATGGATCCTTCTAACGGGGCTCTGGGATGCGGCTACGACAAAGGATACTGGATACCTGGAACAACATATAAAAATACATTTAAAATATAGATGCTACCAGACTAATTGTGTGCAATTAAGCAAATTAATTATCCATTTTAACTGGTTAACTTCATTAGTTTTGTGTCTGGCAAAGCAAGCTTATGTAAACCCCAGCTTGTAAACAGTTAGGCAAGACCAGTTAAACAGCTGTTATAACAGCCGTAAACCAAAAACAACAATCCATTAACTAGGTGAACCTCACAAAACCGTTCAAGAACATGCATGGGTCATATTTCAGCTCCAAAAATGGAGAAAATGTACACAATTGTATTTTGCATTAAGAAAATCAAGCCTATTTTAGGACCCCTAAGCCTTTTTTCATTATTTTCATGACAATTAAGCACATTCATTTTACAATAATAATAAAAATGCAAAAGAAAATATTTAAATTGTGTTGAAGTGTTATATTAAAAAAAAAATAGAATTACTCATACATTATAGTTGTATTTGCTGTGGTGAATTTAATTATTTCTGTAAAACGTTAGTTAAGGGTCCAATTCTCATTAACTAGTTGCTGATTAGCATGCATATTACTGATACTGGCTGTTTATAGTACAGTATATTAATGCCTTATTTTGTATGATCATATTCCACACACTCTAATGCTAATCCATACTTAAATTAATAAAAATTAATTAGGAGATTATTGAGGGAAAAGTTGTTAGTTAATAGTGAGAACTGGAGCGTTAACTAAAGAATACTATATTATAATTTAAAAAATCACTGTGTCCAGACATTCTTATTATAATTTATTATAATTTAAAATATATAAAATTATATATATATGAAGAGTTCAGATGCAAAAGCCTCTAAATGCCATTTGAAATTTTCTTCTTTAATGATGATTTTTTATCAAACTTATATATTTAAGTTCCGTAATTTCACTTAATTAACAATTAATAGGTAATTATCATTGCTATTTAAGTGAAATTACTGAACTTAAATATACAAGTTTGATAAAAAATCATCATTAAAGAAGAAAATTTCAAATGGCATTTAGAGGCTTTTGCATCTGAACTCTTCATATATATATATATATTTCTTATTATAATTTAAAAAAATCACTGTGTCCAGACATTCATTACTGTATTGAGAAGTTTTTGTTGTATTTTGGGGAGAAATGTGCATAATTCTCGTGAAAATATTAATTCTAAGGTTAATTATATATATTTAACACACATAGAATTCAACTGTGCATTTTAAACAGAAATGCATTTACTTCAAATCAATTTGAGAAAAGCGAGTAATATGGGTTGTGAGTAATACATAACACTTTCTCATGTCATTTCATCAGCCTTTCTTAATCCCGATTGTGTTGAATCTGAATTAACAGGAGCCAGTGTAAACATACCATCCCCCTTACAACACGTTTGTGTGAGTCTACAAACACACAACCATATACGAAACACAGAGTAACCACACATTAAAAATCTGAATAAAGTCTTCATTCTAAAATACCACAAATTACTAGACATGTCAAATTAATAAATATTCTTCAAATCATTTCATTATAGACAAACCTATGCAAACCTTAGACTGCATTACTCGTGTTATAAAAACATATGATGGGATTACTCATGTATGAAAATTAATCAACATGCATTTCCATATATATATATATATATATATATATATATATATATATGATTAAATATAAAATGTGCTAAAAACCACATATTTATGTGGGTTAAAACAACTGAACAGTGCGTGCAATATTATGCATTTGAAACTTTACCTTTCCCTGGCAAAGATCATCTGGTTTTCTCCATATGACACTATTCAGCGTGTCTCTCGGTGTAGATTTACGCTGCAGGTTTGATTTCAGCACCTACAATCATGTAACACACTGAAGTCCGTGCTGCAGTTTCACTCAGACACTCACACACCGCATGAAAACACTCGCTCCGGCTGCTTATTTGCATTGAGACGCTGACGGATACAAAAATCGTAAACTACCCGAAACGAGCACATGAAGAGCGTCACGGACGGCTGCCCGGTGGCTTTGCATATTCACAACCGCAACGAAACTCCCGATTCGCCCCACCTTCAGCTGTTTCCAATGAGACATACACCTGCTATTCCTCCAGGGGGCGTTTGGAGGCTCAACAGCACAGACCGCTATTGAGTCGCATTCAAATTCCACGACATTTTTTGTCTCGTCAGAAAAGATTTTGTAATAATATGTATTATCTTTTAAGTAACTTAATTCGAAGGATGAATATCTGACAAACAAATTAAAAATCTACCATAGCTCTCTCAAATATAATACATCTAAAATCTAGAACCACTAACGATTGTGATTAGTCCAAACTCACCAGCGCTGAGAAAAGTAACACGCACCTTGTGATCAAAATAGCGCTGCGTGTGGTCGACGTCATCATTTACGTCCTAATACACTTGAAGCTTTAATAACCGCTTAATTTGAAAATACACCGTGAAAGCTTAAAACTATGATTGTTAATGTTTAGACACAACGCACCTGGCAAGATATAAACAACCTCCCGGCAGTTATATCCGCCTATTTTATGAAGTTTCATTGTAATTTACTTTCTTAAAGCTTGGTTGTATTTCTATGCCCCCTTCTCAAGACAGCCAGAATTGACTTCAAGGAACTGCGCATGTGCATCTCTGGTACAGAGTAACGGTGCATTTTTAATTAAGTCGTTTCGAAACGAAAATTAAGCGAATTATTTTATAACTGAATTATATTTTATGTATGTTAGTTTTTTTTAAAAATTTCGGAAAAATATTTTAAAAAGGTATTTTAGTAGTGCTGTCAAATAGATTAATCAAGATTCATCGCATCTAACATCAACTCTAACATTTGAGTTTACATATGTGTTTATATTACATTAAATAAACTCAAAGTTTTATGTTAGATGCTATTATCACACTTAATCGATTTGACAACAGCACTAATATTTTGTCTTCAGTTACAGAGGAACTTGTTTTGTATACAATATTGCACAGGAAACAAAGCAGTGACATAAATAAAAGATAATGGGAATATATATATATATATATATATATATATATATATATGGTAAACAATAAAAAACTGAATATATTATGCCATTCCTTGTTATGTAATAAAACTATCAAACTAAATTTCACAATGACCTCAAAAACCAGGGGAACCGGTTATTTTATTATGCATTTTTCTCTTTATATTGATTAAATAAAATAATAACCATACAGTTGGAAGTCTGGTAATCTAGATTGTGGCGGTTTTTGTCTCTGACACTCTGATGCATTGAGTGAACAAGCAGATGTCCAGCAATTCAACAGGTGCAGTGAAGTGAATGAGGTCAGCTTTCCCATAACACTGAGAACACATCATCAACTTACATATGGAATTAAACAGGGCCAGTGTGAGATCACAGGAGGCACAAGGGCACAAAACAGGTCTTTGAAAAATTTATTTTTCCAATCTAACAAAGGATCAGTGAAAGTAGCTCTTCGGAAAATGTTGTTCATCCTCTTCAACATACTTTTCATGCCATGTTAATTGCATTTTAGATAATTGTTCATAAAACTACTAAAACATTATAGCAAATGTTTACAACATTTTATTAAAGCGTAGATATAAAAGAACAATATTCACCATTTCAACTCTATGGAATCTAAAATGAAATTATTATATCTGAAAACATTTCAGTCTAATGTAAAAAAAAAAAGTTAGATTTCTGAAAACTTTTTTTAATATGAAAATGTATATTCAAATATGATGCACATTGATAACACACCACAATGTTAAAAATAATTAAATTAAATGTAAAAGCAAAAGGTTCACTTTTCTGCATCGAGATGAGGGATTTTGAGTACCGTGTCAGGAATGAAAGTATATTACAGCTCTCTAAACAAACAGTCTTTTGAAATGAAATGTAATGCATCAAGCAGAGGGAAATCTCTTTGTTTTGACAGTTTCAGTCATGTCTCTGTCAATATTTAACTACTGTAATCACACTAGATTATCTGTGAGAGTGAGATTTTCTCTGCATCATTGAATCCACCCCAGATTAATGTCTCTGACGGCGCTCTGGCACACTCTCTATACTGCATACTGGACTTTGTATGACAACCGACTATAGAGAGCTCAGCGTGTGGCACATTAGATAGTAAAACAGCTGCTTTCCTTTAAAGTAAAATAAAACAGTATTTGGTATATTTGACATCGGGAGTGCAATAACAAAACATGATATATAAAAAAGAATACAAGCGGTCACTTTAAAAAAAAATCATAATTTTTAAGTTGGGTGTTTAGTTTCCATGTAAACGATAACTGCACAACATGCAACTCCATATACAGTTTCAGAAAATGACTATGAATATGTTTTGGGTTTAATTACAATCTATACGAGTAGACTGAACACATTCAGACCAAACATCCTGGCAAAAAAAATCTGTTTCACAACCTCAGTGCTTCAAATCATCTACAGAACAATTGACATTATTAATTAATACAAATGCAGAATGTAACTCCAGATGAATGAAAACTTGCATTATGTTCTGTTTCACCACAGTAAATGTCCCACCTCTCTCTAAGCAATGGCGGACTGATGTGCAATGAGACGCTCTCCTTGAGTTGTGGGGTGCTGGTCCATCTTTGATCCTGAAGCCAGGGCCTCCTCTTCCAGCTGTTATGAAAGACAATCACATTGATTAAAAAGAGCTCATATTATATCTCTTTTTAATCCTTGTGTTTTTTCATTACAGTTCTACATGACCTTTTTTAGAATTAAAGTACCCAAATTAGGCTATTTTAAAGGTTTCTCATTTTGTTGTGGAGGTCTCAAACGATAGATTTACATGCATGAAAGGTAAAAAAATTAATTAAAAAAAAGTTTAATCACCATCTCAAAGAGTCTGAAAACGGTTTGATCGAAGATTCAGGGTATGGTTACATGACAACTATGTACTATGTATTTTTCATGATGACAATGTTGTTAAAACAATCTCCGTTCACATGGATCCGTGGAAAATGCTGTAATCTGCTGCCAGGCCAGTAGTTGGCGATGTCACTTAGTTAAGAAACACTAGGCGTCAATAAAGTATCAAAATGTATACATTTTGGATTAACTTTTAAAGATTAACTTGATAGACAAAACATGTAAGGGTCACAACTCTTTGTTGAACACAGATCTTATTTTATGCGACTTTCCAAAAGTCTATGGGGAAAATGCATAGCTTTTCGATCGAGGGAACCCATGCGCCGCTAGCTTCCGAGTTGTCCAACAGTGACGTCATCACTTCGCCACTCTATAGACCTTATGCACCAGAGAAACGTGGGTGCCGTCATCTTTAGAATATTGTCTTTGAACTTCCAGTTTCGTGGTCGCTCTGTATATTTCTATGGCATAGCTGTCGAAGTGGATTTACTTATTATTAGTTAACAAAAGTTATCATGAGCAATGCAATGTTTATCATAAGCATTGTAAAGCAGACGTCTTAACAAATTTCGACCGGGAAATTTTTTACAAGCAGTTCATTCATACCTATGCAAGATTGCTGTGGAAATACAGACCTGAAAAGGGGCGGGGCTACATAAGGTCTATACACATGTGCATGATGTTTCAGTTTTCACAAATTCAAGTTCTTGTAGTTCACATGGATAAAATAACAGTATCGTCAGTGTTGGGGAGTAGTTAACTACAAATAGCGACGCTACTAATTTAACTACATTTTTCAGTAACTACTTTTTACAGCAAGTAGCGGTATAGCGCGAGCAAAAGCTACATTGCATTTGTCGAGCCTGTGCAAATCAGTGCGATGCAAGGATATTCTTCTTCTTGTTAGATTACAAACTCATTTTTTGACACCTGTTGTTTAATCACGCATCTTGCGGCTAATGGTGCGTTCTATTATTCATCCGTCTCGGAGATCCGAATCGGACGACAGACGTTGCCTAGCAACACACCCCCTTTCCTCGGATTTCTCCTCTCGGACGTCGGACAACCGTGAGGACACCGAGCAAGAATTCCGTTTCGGAATTCAAAATGGCTGCGCCCTGTGACTTGTAAGAATGAATTGTTTTAATTGTTTTTGAACTGCTTTGGTATTTTAAATGTTATTTTGTTCTTGCAATGTTGTAGGTTATTTGTTGCAGTTTTGCACTTTTGACAAACAGTCTGAGACATTTGAGTGTTGTGTGTAATAAAACAATACTCATTGAAATCATAATTGTATTGCATTATTTTAAACACTAAATATTTTACTTAAAACATTCCTCAGACACTTATTCAGTTATTCATAATATACGTTGTTCAAAAAGCAAAAGTAGTTTCCATGTAGCTAGCTACTTTTTGATAGTAACTTATGGACCCCTTTTCAGTCAGTAAACATGGTGACGTTTTTATGTGGGCGGAGCTTAGGTAGAGGCAGAACGATCCCTCTGGTCGCTTCACTAACGCTAGTTAGCAAGGATTGTTAGCTTGTTTTTTAACAATGACTGGAGAAAATCAGATTTTATCTTAATGTGTAAGGTCACTCAGTGTCCAGGACCGCAATTGTTATTTCCAAAACTTATTTTTAACGGACAGGACCAGATTGGCCGACCCGTAGCCGCCTACACGCTCACTCAATGCATGGACGATCTAACAGGATTAACGTACGTTACCTCGGTTGAGTGGCCTGACTTCTACACCCACCTTATAGAGAAAACGATCGTAAAGAGAAAATGAGGGCATATGAATTTTTAAATGCCTATATTGTCCTGTACAAGACTTGTGTGTACGATCCGCAGTCCTGCCGAGAGAGCGCCAAGACCACGACAATGTAAAGAGTGTCATGACGGTGCGATTTTAATCATGTGAATATTTTCTAGAAATAAAAAATCCAGATACAGCATATTAATTTTTCATTGATACTTGCACTAAACAACACAATAAGATGACATTTAATAATAATAAAAGTAATTTAAGCTCCTTATTATGTAGCCGAATCTGTGCTGGTTTGCATTGGCCGCCTCCAGTTTTCACTTTGTTTTGCCTCCAGCTAGCGCCGTGACGTCGGCGCAAAAGGGGTCTATAGTGTAGCTAACTACTTTTCCAAAAGGGTAGCTTGACTGTAGTTTAACTACTTTAACTTACGAGTAGCTTGTAGCTTCACAAACTTCAGTTTCAGAGTAGCTTCCCCAACACTGGGTATCGTTTTCAAAAACTAGCATTTTGAAAGTCTGACAAAATGTATAAATTAATGTAATGTAAGAATCTTTGAACAAAACCACCTGCTTTATTCTGCCTTTAATGCATAAATGTAAAGAGCTCTGAACTCATTTCCATAATCTATTTTTCCATATAAAATCCCTAGGAAAATGATTTTGGTTTTACACACAGCGGGTTAATTCAGCGGAGTCGTCTGGATGAATATTCAGAGGTGTACCTGCTCTCTGATGTAGTTTTGAGCACAGGGTCCGATGCCTCTTAATTGGAGACCCACAATAAAGCACCACACAGACAGTCCAGCCTCCAGCGAAGTGAACGCAGCGCAGGTGAACCACAGAGCAAGGGTTGTGTCCTGGACGAGAAACAACTTCAGTCTTCATATGCAAGATTCTCAATTTAAGTATTTACACTAGTTGGGGATCAGAGATTTGGAATAATTAACATTTAAAAAAAAATGTGTTCATCAAGGCTGAATTTATTAGATCAAAAATACAATAAAACAGCAACATTGTGATATATCATTACATTTTAAAATGTGATGCAAATCTGTATTTTCAGCATCATTACTCTAGTCTTCAGCGTCACATGATCCTTCACAAATCATTCTAATAGGCTGATGTTTATACAGATGCATTTCTAATAATATTTTCGCTGTAGTTTTAAGATGTTTTCCAGTAGACAGACTCACGTAGATGCGAGTGGCATCAAAAGGGCAGTCGACGATAACCAGAGAACGTGCATTGTTAGTGGAATTGCATCCCTTCATGAGGCCGCTCCCGTCGGTTGAAACGGTCAGACTGATAGCCAAAATCAACCCCAATAAACATGCCAGCGTGAGCAGGGTGTTCAGAAAGGAACTCACTAACAGGCCGATGTGCTACAGGAAGCAGAAGAACAGAGCCGTGATAATGTCGCCATAAAATCAAAATGGACAATTCCTACTTTATAATGGAATATCGCCCTATTGTGCCCTCGGAATCAAAATAACTTCCCTTTTCCTCTTGCAGAGACATCTCTTCTCTCATGACGTTGTGTTTACTGGCATTAAAAAAGGCGTTTACAGTTTTTTTCTTGCTAGAGAAGCCGTTTCACTCGTAACATATATACAGGATATACAGTTTACTGTGCAAAAGTTTCAGGCACATTAGTATTTTTACTCCAAAAAAATGGGTTTAAGCCAGTTATTTAGATCTTTTTCTGCAGTGTCAATAGGAAATCAGTTTACATTTCCAAACGCCATGATTGTAATAATCCAGTGTGATTTTTGAATGCACAGAGTCTGACAACAGCTGGTATGATCTGATCTCACCATCACACAGTCCGTACATGATGGATTACATAAAGAAACTGTGAAAACCTTCCAGCAAAACTACCTGAAAAACTATGTGCAAGTGTACCTGGACAAAAGCTGTTTAACACAAAGGGTGCTCACACCAAATATTGATTTAATTTCATTATAGAAGTTAATTGATAAATAAAATCTATTCATGACATTATTTTTGAAAGCATCCTCACATTTTTACACAAGTGCCTACAACCTTTCACAGTACTGTAGCTTGGCAGGAAGTTTTCTTCTAGTGTCTTGGAGACGTTGCCGCAGTTCTTCTTCGTCTCAGTTTCTTCATGTAATCACCGACAGACTCAAGTGATCAGATCATACCGGCTGTTGTCAGACTCCTTGTGCATACAGAAATCTCACTGGATTATTACAATTAATGGCAAGATTCATGTTTGGAAATGTAAACTGATATTTCCCACTGACACCAATAATTGGCTTAAAACTATTTTATTGGGGTGTAAATACTAACGTGCCTAAGACTTTCGCACAGTACGTCACAATTAAGACTTATCGCAACTTCTGTTTTATGCTGACTATTAAATAACACAGGGAAAGAGCATTGTATTTTTGTAGTGGTATACAGAACAAATGCGATATGGCCTTAGAAATATAATACTAAAACAGAGAAAAGGTTACTTACTAGTTTCCAGTAGGTAATATTCCTCGACACCAATATTGCAACAATTCCACTTGCGATGCTCTGCGAAAAACATATTTTTGATAAGGTTTGAGGACATAAGGGGAATTTTAGGGTGCTTTCACACTTGGTTTGATTACATGGTTCGAACCAGAGTACGATTGCTTCCCCCCTAGATTGTGTTCACATTATATTTAGAGCTGATAAATCAATTAATCACAATTAATTGCTTCTGAAAAAAAAGTTTATAAATAAAAAATTAAAAAAAATTGAAAATAAATAAAAATAATATAAAAAATAAATGAAAAATAATAAATAAAAAAATAAATAAAAAATAATTAATAAATAAATAAATAAAAACTGCATACTGTAGTTGCTCGTCTCACTTTAATATTTAGATTTTTGAACACTTGGTTAGTACAATTGCGTTCAAATCAGCAGCGAACTGTACCAGAGATGACATGAACCGTACCCCAAATCACCCTTTTTATTCAGACCCGGGTACGGTTAGCAGGCTGAGGGTGTGTTCACACTAGCCAGGTTTGGTTCGATTTGTTTCGATTAAAATGAACTCTGGTGCGATTGCTCTTTTAGTACGGTTCATTTGAATAAGTCTGAATGCTGCCATCCGAACCCTGGTGTAAAACCGATAAAAAGGTGAACAGAAAAAAAGTGGGCCAAAGACATGTAAACGAACCAAAAACAGGACATGATGTCACAAGATGCGACCCTAAAAAGGAGAGAATGCTCAGGCATAGCTGTGTTTTCTCATCATAGTCACAATGTTGCCCATCAAAGTTTGAGCAGGACCACGTCTTCTCACAGCAGATCTTTATTTGTGTGTGTGACAACAGAGGGATTCCTGTCTCGGTTTTGTCTCCTTTACACATTTTATAAGCTCATCACGAGTTCTCAGCTTCGTTATATATGTTCTGCTGACACAAGGGATTATTCTGGATGTTTAACAAGTTCCATCGCAAAATATAGGCTGTGTCATAAAAGCAGCTTTTTTTGTTTTGTATCTTCAGGTTCGGTTTTTAAAAAAATCAGGACTAAATGTGTCATTTTCTTTTTTGGTTCACTCCAGACCAAAAGAACCAAATTACAAGTGTGAACACACTCTGAAAGCAGCATTCACATCATCAAACGAAGCAAACTCTGACGTCAATCAAACCCTGTGAGCGTACCAAAAGTGCTAGTGTGAAAGCACCCTTTCATTTTTCTGGCTCTGTGGGAAAACGCAGAAGTGTTAAAACTGCTCAGGAAGCCTAACAAATTGAATATATGTAAAAACATATGCAGACTTCATTTGGGTGTACAAGAAAACCACAGCACACCCAAATTATAAGCAGTAGATGTGGCATGATGTGATTATTCCCTTTTTGAGGGAATATTTAAAGGATTCACTGGGAGTTTAGGAGCTAAAGATGGGACATAAGTGAACAAACATACGTGTAAATCACTCACCAGAAGTCCTGAGGAGACAGAGATGATGTTTGATATGGTATACTCCGTTGAGATCTCATTGCTGGGTTTGGATACGTGGCGTAACACGCTGCCATGAAGAATAGCGCTCAGGATGAAATTAACATGACCAATGACGATGAGAGTCAATCCTTTCTTCATCAGCCGCCCAGGACCCTTCTGCTTGTCTAGATTAAAATAACGTAATTTCATGCAGTGCTCTCAAGACTCACAATTGTCATTGCATTAGATAGCCTACACAAATAATGCTACGTTTAGGAAACATTTTTCCATGCGTTTTAACTAGTTGACCAGTGCTTTTGTGCTTATTATATAAAGGAAATATACTTTAGATATTTGCAATTCCAATGCAATGGCATCAATCAAATTTGGTAATATAGTTCATATTGTTTACAGTTGTGTACATCTTTTTTTTTTAAATAAAAATTATAGTTGTGTAGCTACATTTATATCGTAACACAAAAGACATTTGTGTCTACTACTAGCCTACTATGAAACTACTACTATTAACCTACTGAAACTGCGATTTAGTCCTACATTCGCAGGAAGTAGTGTAAAATAATGTGTCTAAGGGTTCATTCAGCTGCTCAATATTGTTTTCTACAGTGAATAAAAAAAGAGAAAAATATAAATGTTACAACAGACGCGCACTTCTACAGAACAAATAACTGATGTCGGAGGATTTTCTCTCTAGAAACCCTCTTTTTATGTCTCTAATTAAACTATAAATCAACTATAATTCTCGTGCGGGCAATAAAAGAGAAATAAATGAGTCACTTACCGAAATCACACATATCTGTACCTGTGTATTTGAGCTCTTAGTTTGGAAGTAAAACTTCATCAAACGCAGGTCCCTCCCGTCATGCTCGACGACGTCACGCACACCTCACCTGTGCAGCGGAAGTGGGAGGAGCCAAAATACAAAGGTCACTCAATGCACAAATAAATCCTGTTGTTATTGTCGCCCATTATTGACCTATATTTAGTTGTCAGTTTTTTTTTCTATTTAATCCTGTGTAACTCTTAATTTTAATTATTAAATTTTGCAAATCAAAAATACAATTGCTGTATTACTGTATTTGGTATGTGCACTAACTGCACTTGATAAACTTTTGAATTGGCTAATCAATATATATATATATATATACATACACACAGTATAAATATATATATATATATATATATATATTCAAACATACATACTCACATTTAGCCTATATATATATATATATATACACATACACACAGTATAAATATATATATATATATATTCATACATACATACTCACATATAGCCTATATATATATATATATATATATATATATATATATATATACATACACACAGTATAAATATATATATATATATATATTCAAACATACATACTCACATATATATATATATATATATATATATACACACACACACATACATATTAACGTATATGCTTTCCTTTCTTTTTTGCATTGCACCACACACTGCCATCCGGGAATATTCTAGCTTTTCCCTTATGTTCATGTGGATTCTTCGATGCACCTCTTATGACTGTTACAGTCAGAATGTATTACCACTTAATCCAAGTATATCCAAATATATGCAGTATTTAGTTTCACGAGGTTCACTGTAACACTTAAACACTGTCTGGCATCTGTCTGTCCATGCCAACTATTCAAACAATGATAGCGCTGATCTACTGAGATGCATAAAACAATGCCAGTGTCCAAAGTCCTGTCACATTTCAGCGGCACACCCACATTATCAGCACTAAGCAAATATTAGAGTAAAAACAAGTGGAAGCAATGCAACGGCACATCAGAGATTAATATCAGAATAAAGAGGACATTTACAGAAAACATACAATTTTATTGTCAGATGATATCAGAACGTCACATGTTTTAATGGTCTTGCATTAAATTGATCAAAGCGTTGAAAACCCTGACCAAACAGTTTACTCATAAAATAATTTGCCAAAATATACTTTTCACGATTTGAAGTCATTTCAAAATAACTTTTAAATAGTGATAACTTTTTAAGCGCACACACATACATACATACATATATATATATACAAGTATATATATATATATATATATACACACATACATACATACATTATATATATATATATATATATATATATATATATATATATACACACACACACATACATATACATATATATATATACACATATACATATATATATACATATATATATGTATATACATACATATATATATATATATATGTATATACATACATATATATATATATATATATATATATATATATATTTCAAGCAGCAACTATTTTAAGAAAAGATAGCACAAGCCTATTTTATTTTTTTCAAGCAAAACATTTCACAACATTAAATGTATTAAGTTTTAAATTATAAAATAGATTTATTGTTCAAAGTTGAGAAAAAAAAATCATAACACAATCCATAATTATGCCATATGCCACTGACTATGATATTTTGTATCTAATGCAATATTTAATGTTTGTGGGTTCTAATTTTTGTGGTGAAGAAATAACAAGGAAACTAGTCCTTCACAATTTTATTATAACTATTACATTCTAAAAATACACTTTTTTGCCAAATTAAGACCCCCCAAAATTTAGCGTGATTTGTTTTCTCTTTTTTGCAAAAGTATATTTTCCCTATTATTATTTCTATACCAAAAATAAGCCTGTATGTATTTACATATGATTGCTGCATCAGGCAACATATTAAGCCATAGCCACAGCGCCCCCTCGTGGCCTCCAGAATCATGCAAGGGGCATCTGAAGGTCACATGACAGCAGATGCTGCCAATCCTGTCTGACCTTCAGAAATGCATGTGTAAAGTAAGACAAACACACAAGCACAGTATAGAAAGTCAGAACGGTATTTTGTTTTTTTTATTTATTTGAACTGTACTGTATGCTAAATGTTCACCTCGGTACAATAAACAAATACAAATACTCACACTAAAAACCAAACCTACAGTTCTGGAACCAACCTGACCGGAGTTGGCCGAGGACCTCAGGATATTGCATATAAACAACACAATGAGCTCCGAACAGTGCGCTTCCACATAAAGAACCCAAAAGAAAAGGAACAGGGAGAGGATCACAGGAAAGTATGGTTACAAAAACATTAAACTAGACAATACAAATCTAATTTAACTGCCATACATTCAACACCAAAAAAACGCACTGGATGTCAGATCTATAAAAAATACCTCGGGTAGGCGAAGAGGCTGATGGGAAGGAGCGAGTATCTAGACCACCGGGTTGTCGTGTGTTTCGGAGTAAATGTTCTTCCTGAGACAGGGGCGGTTTTTCACTCCAGTCCCTTTTTTTAATCTAAGTGAGCTGCCATCTATTTTTGGAGTTTTACAGAACTCATAGCAAACACAAAATCAAAATGTTCCTCATGGTGACGTTCACTCTGATCCAAATTACCATTTTTGGGAACTGACATTTAAAAACCCGACAGAGAATCAAACAAATCCTGAAAAAAACCAAAAACATTTTTAATCTAAATTAATTTATTTATATATATATATATATATATATATATATTAGTAAAATAGTGTGCTCTTGGGTCTTAAAGAGGGGTGGTTTCTGAGCTGGTGCTTGTTCAATTTGTGCAATTCTGTAAACAAGAGGAGGTCAGCTACTCTAAATGTTCTGAAAAAAACAAAAACAAATGCTAATCATTTCTCTATCATCTTTATTTTTGCCCAAGAACAGCCTTTCCCTCTCTGTTCTCTTAATAGATTCACTGTATATATATATTTTTTTATCAACACTGAAACAAAGACGAGCACTAATTCCGTGGATGTAAAGATAGAAACGTTGTTGAAACGTATAACTGCGTCGAGTTCTGTTACGTGCCCAAATAAGGTGAGGAGGAGGAAGAAGAGAAGTGCATGACATGTGGGTATCAGTCAATGTTTCGAACTGGTGCACGAGGAAAGAGGCGTGGCCATTGTGTGATGCCACGCCTCCTGACAAGAAAGCACCGCCCACCTGCGTACGAACAGGTGGAAATGACGTCCGCCCCTCGCAAAAACGACAGAAACAAAACCACCGAACTTCCTAGGTTAAAAAGTAAATGAACGGAGAAACACTCAAACTGAAAAACAAGACAGTGGCAGACGTCCATGAAGCATGTCTCTGGTGCAGCTGGCGCTGGCAGCTGATTGCTTGTTCACCCGTTCACTGTCTCTTAGTCTCTACGATTTGCAGTTGGTCAGCGGTCAGGTGTGTGGTTATGACTTGGCCAGGTGTTCTCTATGGTCGTTGTGTTTGAGGAGCTGGGTGGGGGAGGGGGCGAGGCTGGGCTGGGCGCCCGGCGGCAGGGGGTGGGCACTGGGCACCCCGCCAGGCATCATGCCCTCTATTTGTCCACCCATGCCACCAGGAGACACACCCACTGCACCAGGGGGGAACCTGGAGATAAGATAGAGAATACAGAGTTACGGTGAGGTCATTGGTTTAAAGGAGTAGTTCACTTTTCAAAAAACTTTTGCTGATAATATACTCGCCTCCATGTCATCCAAGATGTCCATGTCTTTCTTTTTTCAGTCGAAAAGAAATTAAGGTTTTTGATGAAAACATTCCAGGATTTTCTCCATATAATGGACTTCAATGGGAACCAAATGGTTTAAGGTCCAAAAGACAGTTTCAGTGCAAACTGCAAACTGTTCAAAGGGCTTTAAACGACACCAGTCGATGAATAAGGGTCTTTTCAAGTGAAATGATCGCTCATTTAATAAATAAATAACAAAGTTTAAGTTTTATAAGCTCAAATGCTCACCTTGCTCTTTTCTGTGATGCGCGTTCGTGACTCTCCTGTTCAAACTCGTTTATCAAAATGAACAAATCTTTTGCAGAGTCAACTCGTTTGTTTTGTTCATTGAATGAACCAAATGACTCGGAAAAAGATTTGTTCATTTTGATGAACAAGTTCGAATAGGAGAGTCACGCGCGCTCATCACAGAACAGAGCAAGACGAGTATTTGAGCTTATAAAAATTAAACTTTGTTATTTATTTATTAAATGAGTGATCGTTTTGCTTGATAAGACCCTTATTCATCGACTGGAATCGTTTAAAGCCCTTTGAACAGTTTGCACTGAAACTGTATTTTGGACCTTGAACCGTCTGGTTCCCATTGAAGTCCATTATATGGAGAAAAATCCTGGAATGTTTTCATCAAAAACCTTAATTTCTTTTCGACTGAAGAAAGAAAGACATGGACATCTTGGATGACATGGGGGTGAGTAAATTATCAGCAAAAGTTTTTTTTTTCAAAAGTGAACTACTTTATTGCTACACTCTTTGACTACAACAAATTGCTTACAGACTCATTTTGGCTGAAAAACTTAAGGTAACACTTTACTTGAAGGGGTGTGCATAAGACTGACATGACATCTTGATAACCATGACATGACATATGTCTTGAATATGAAGTAAGGTTTATGCATGTTAGTGACAACTGTCATTAAGTGTCATTCGCTCATTTATGACATTTTTAATGCAAATATGACATTGTTTAAGATGTCTTTGTTATGACACCTTGACATAAGCCAATACATCATAACCTTTCAGTGTTTTTGTCAGGACAACTTGACATTAAATTAAGTTGAACTGTCATGTGGTTGGCTTTGACATCGGCTGTCATGAGGCCATTATAACGGTGTCATGAATATTTTCCGTGACCTCAACTACAGTGGTACTAATTTAATTTGTCATTAAAGAGTAATAATGGCTTCATGACAGCCAATGAAAACCAACCACCTGCCAGTTTAATGTAATGCTAACCAATAAAGCTAGGTGGTTTCTTAAGTGTGATAATGAATCTGTTATGTCATGTTTATGACAGGTTGTGTTGTCTTAGTAATGTCAAGTTGTCATGACAAAGACACTGACAGGTTATGATGTATTGGTTTATGTCAAGGTGTCACAACAAAGACATCTCAAACAATGTCATATTTGCATTAAAAATGTCATAACTGAGCGAAAGACACTTAATGACAGTTGTCACTAACATGCATAAAACTTCCTTCATATTCATAACATATTGTCATATTGTCTCATGTCATATTAGTCTTATGCACACCCCTTTAAGTAAAGTGTTACCACATTGGTAAAATCAAATGTTGTATCTGTTAAAATTAGTTAATGCACTGTGAGTGAACTAACATGAAGAAACAATGAATAGTATTTTTTTATGAACTAACATTAACAAACCTTATTGTAAAGTGCTACAGATAATTCTTTATTAAAAGGAGTTTTTTACTTTAGAAAAAACGTTTGCCGATAATTTACTAAATAATTATAATAAATAATTTAATAAATAAATAACAAAGTTTTATAAGCTCAAATGGTCGCCTAGCTCTGTTCTGTGATGAGTGTTCGTGACTCTCCTGTTCGAACTCATTCATCAAAATGAACGAATCTTTTTCAGAGTCATTTAGTTCATTCAACGAAGGAAACGAACGAATTGACTCGGAAGTCCATTATATGGAGAAAATCCTGGAATGTTTTCATCAAAAACCTGAATTTCTTTTCGACTGAAGAAAGAAAGACATGGACATCTTGGATGACATGGGGGTGAGGAAATTATCAGCAAAACATTTTTGAAAAGTGAACTACTCCTTTAAGGTTTTATTTATTTATTGCTTAAAATAAATGTAAGGTATGCATTTAACTAATTTATTATTTGATTTATTGATTCCTCAGGTGATTTATTGAATGCTCAAATACTTTGTGGCACAAATAGCCCTCCATACAAAATCACCATTTAATTTAACAAATGCTCATACAACACCACAAAATACAGAAATAAAAAAATATGTGTAATTAAAATAATTCTAGAACCAATAAAAAAAAACAATTAGTAAGTAAAATTGCTGTTCAGCCTTTATGTAACATTTCCATAAATAGGAAGGTTTCATGATGCGCATGAGAATGAGAAATGTAAAAACAAAAGTTGTCAAATCAAAGTAAGGATAAGCTTGATGTTTCAGTTTAGTTCATCAATGTCTTTCAGAGCTATTTGGGCTGTTTTCTTGATATCTGGCGACGGCTGTGTTGCAGTACTCTGTGAATATTTACCTGTCATTGTTTAGGTATACATTTTGTCTTGCAGGCCACCAGGAGAAACGGCTGGTAGCGGTTGGGCCACTCTGCTGAGCGAGAGAAGCAATCAGACTGAGCAACACACATTGTGTGTGTGTGTGTGGGTTGAAGAGTTAAATGCATAAAAATGAGGTGTTAGTTGAGGGAAACGTTCAGAAGGGTCATAGCGGGTAAAGCTAGAGGTGACGCTGTCGATGTAGAGAGAAGTTAATTTATGTTTGCCACAGGGACAGACGGCAGTAACCTTTAAGTCTATTTGCATATTGCGATCTGGAGGGATTACACTCACTACACAGGGATGAACTAATGAAGCTTGTTTGCATTGCTGAACACAGCCGCTGTGCTGGTTGGCTGCTCATACATCAGAATGAATGAATTTGTTGAGTATTTCATCTCACTGCGAGGAAGGAGTGATCTTGAGTAGAGTGGGGAAAAGAGCAGGGATGGCGATTAGAGGGAATTTAATGAATCTGGTTTTGATTCAGATTTTATATGACAATACAAAGATTTGATTAAAGATTTAGTACTTTTGTAAGTGAAATTCTCAGAAATGCTGTTAAAGGGATACTCCACTTTTTTTTGTAACATTTTGATGTTTTTAAATATTTATAATATTTTAAATATTTATATAATTTATTAACAAATTCTATTTTTTATTTATTATATTATTATTACCGTTGCTTTTAATTATAATACTATTTTTTTAAAATATTTTAGTAAATACTATAACAATTTTTTTATGTTTAACAAATAATAAATATATTATTTTAAGTTTATTAAATATCTCTCTCTCTCTATAGTATAGTATATTATACTATTTATTAAACATCTTGGTCCCACTTTATATTAAGTGGCTTTAAGTACTATGTACTTACATTTAAAAATAAGTACAATGTACTTATTGTGCTCATGTTGTATTGTAAATCACTTTTGGTGCTATTGAGGTGTGATATGGGTAAGTTTAGGGACAGGTGTGGTGGTATGGGTAGGTTTAAGTGTAAGGGATGGGTCAGCTGTGTAATTACAGATGTAATTACATAAATTAATTACAGCTGTAATTACATGCTGGTATTTTTTAAATATAAGTACAATGTAAAAACATGTGTGTACACAATAATTCCTTTGCATCAAATTATTAATTTCAATCTAGCTCATAAATATCACTAAATTATATTGCAATTTATTTGTGTATATTGAAATTTAATTCAAGATAGAATATAGAATACAGAATATATATATATACACACTTTAAGTTTAATTTAAGTTTTTTTACTGTATGTTAAATCTGGTATTAAGAATTATTTTTTAGGCTGGAAGATTAATAGAACTGAATGGCAGGAAAATCATTTGGTTCTGGTTCTAAATGAGAACCGGTTGTCGATTCTCAATCCCAGAAACAAGGGTGTTGGAGATGTTAGCAAACACAGGGGTGGATGGAATAAAGGTTAGTATGGCATGGCAGGTAATGTATGTTAGGTTCTGTGCATGCTCAAAATCTCTTTTCTCACCTGTAAGCTCCTCCGTTGAGCTCCGGGTGTACCTGCTGCTCCATCATCCCCCACGGCGCCGTGGTAACAAAAAACTCCTTGTTGACGCAGTTTCTGAGACTGTCTGGAATACGACCTGAAAACCAGAAAAAACCCAGAGACATGATGACTGATGTACAACAGAACGGATCCTTTGAGAGAGACAGAGTTTATATAAAGAACTAGATTTACATTCCCTGAAGGAAATACAAGTGCTTGCTAGGCAGCACAAGAATGTTAAAATAACAGTTTGAAAAGTTATGCAATATATATATAGATAGAACTGAGAGAAAGAGAGGTAAATCAGGACCCCTTCCCTTCACAGTTCACATTCACTCCAGTTAACCATAATTAAAGGAGAACTCCGGCGCAAAATGAACCTTTGGTCTAATACACATCGGTACCCAGTCGACCGTTCTCTGAGATTTGTTTTCATGATAATCGAATGTAAAGAGTTTTAGCTCTAAAAACTGTTTAGTGTATAACGCTAGTATATGGGGGCATATAATAAGTAAAAAGAAATCGCTAGTTAATACCACTAACAAGGCTCAAAGTAGCCCCACACTAACACAATAACATAATGAGGGTCCCTAAATACAAACCGAAGCATTGAGAACTTTGTAAGTGTACAGACCATTTAATAAGAAGATACTTTATAAAGACAGTTCACTTCGTGTATACAGGCAGCAGCCATTTTTGGAAAACAGTCTCGACTAGTTTTTAGAGATAAAACTCTTTACATTCGATTATCATGAAAACAAATCTCAGAGAACGGTCGACTAGGTACTGTTGTTTTATTAGACCAAAGGTTCATTTTGCGCTGGAGTTCTCCTTTAACTTTACCATAATAAATGAAACATGCAACCCTATGATAATCACAATTTCGTATGCCAATTCTACAATGACATCATCAGAAGCGGTTACATTTTGAACAGAAAACATTTTAAGAAAGAGGTCAAAGGGAGCTTTCATACCAGTGATGGCCCTGCGGATCTCGGTGGCCGCGGCCTCTCTCATCTCTAGTGAGGCCTGCTCACTGTACCACGCCGTGTGAGGGGTGCAGATCAGATTGGGCGCATCCTTCAGAGGACCCTGAGTAAAACTGAGAGAAAACCATAGCATAGGGATACAGAATGAGACTATAACCTGATTTGCATCAATGTATTTATATTTAAAACTATACAAAATTTTTATATATCACAAAATGTAATTTATTCCTGTGATGCAAAGCTGAATTTTCAGCATCATTACTCCAGTTTTCAGTGTCACATGATCCTTCAGAAATCATTTATACGATGCTTGGAAAAAATTTTTTTTTAAAATATTTGTGCTAAACATTTGTCGAAATCATGATGTATTTTCAGCATTTTTTTGATTAATAGAAAGTTGAAACAGTAATAAAACTAAAAAAGTAATAAAGTACTAATGTTACAAAATCTTTAACTTTTTTATTATTTAAAAAAAAAATAGTATTATTACCAAATGCAAATTTTTGAAAATTCATAATCACTCAACATTGGATACATTGCAATACATTGTGATAATAATCAAATGAGAATAATACAATAATACAAGCGAAATATATTAATGTTGTGCTCCCTTAACAAATTTCTATTATGTTCTAGAAAAGTAAAATGCCAAAACAGAAAACATTACAGTCCTTGCTATATTTGACCATCTGAAATAACACACCATTGTCAATGTACTATAATCTGGGATGCACTAATCCTAATATTGCATATTATATAGAAGTAATAGCATGCAAATTTAGGTGCAGCTGAAGAGAATTGTGGCGTACAGCAAACATGGAGATTGTTCTAATTAGTATGTCATTACGAATATTACCTGAAGGGTTCAGATTCGTGAACGTCCAGGGCGGCCCCTCGTATCCTGCCCTCTTTTAGAGCCTGAGCCAGGGCTTTTTCATCGACCAGACCCCCTCGGGCTGTGTTGACTAGAAACGCTCCCTGTCGCATCTACGAAAACATGTCATGTTCATGCCACAGCCACAAGATGGCGCTCGTGATAACAGGATGCGATTAATGGATTACCTGTTTGATGGTGAAGTCGTTAATGAGGTGGTGATTGTGTTCGTTTAGGTTGCAGTGGAGAGACACGCAGTCGCTCTGGTACAGGAGGTCCTGTAATGTGTAAACTCTCTGAACGCCCAACGATCGCTCTAAACCGTCTTGCAAGTATGGGTCGTAAAAGATCACATTGAAGCCAAACGCTTTCGCTCGAACAGCGACTGCCTGTCCTGATCGGCCTATAACACACATATACATAAATATATAGACACCCAGTAGAGGATTGCTTATATAACTTGAATGACAACTATAGTGCTTGTTTGTTCTTCTTGGAGAAACTCTTGTCACCAATGACTTCAGTTATATGAAAACAAAAATTACACATTGATGACCAGACAGTGAATAAACATAATTCATTTGAACCATTCCTTTTATTTTTAATATGTAATTATAATATGTTCATGTACACTACCAGTCAAAAATTTGCAACCACTAAATTATATTAATTATTATTATATTATATTTTTAATTAAATGCTTGAATTTAGTCTCGATGCGTGCTTACATTATTTTTTTTTTATGATTTTTTTTTCATGTTTCAATCACTATGTTAGTGTATTCATATAAGTTGCTTTGGATAAAAGCATGTATATGCATTTATATCTCAAATTTCAATGTATAATACAGAACAAACAACTAATGTAAATAAATTAAATAATAATTGAACTCAATTTTATAACTTAATGGCATTAACAAGCATTATTATATTATGTAATGCTTAAAGGGGTCATGAACTGGCTTTTTAAATTTTATCATATTGTTGTCTGAGGTCAACTTATAACGTTCGCTTGGTTTTTACATTAAAAAACATTAAAATGAATAAGTAGTAGGCTATTTTCAACCCTAGTTTTGAGCCTAGCTGAAAAACGCTTGGTTTTTATGGGCGTCTCGCACTGAAGACTTGGAAGTAAACGCCCACTGCTGTGAGTGGATAACAGTTTTGCATATTATAATGAGTTTCACTCGTCAGTGCATGTTTATTGCTCGGTAGCTCGACCCGGTTTGTCATCACGAGGTAGGCATCTATGTTATTTAGCTATGAGTGTAATGCGCAGATCGGTGGGCGGGGCTAAACCGGCCGTGTTGAAGTAGGCGTTGATCGTCTCATGCGGGGGTGGTGTTTTATCCTCTTTGACGTCATAGTTCCCCACTTTTAAAAACGAGTCGTTTGCTGAGCCTGGTGTCAATAAAAGCTTTTATTGGACTAACAAGGACGTTTTCAGTTCTGAAACTTACAGGATATTCTTATAATTTGATTTAAATTTGATTTCTCAGTTCATCACCCCTTTAACACAATTGTGTAATGTTCTTGTGTTTGTTGATGAATTCTCCGTTTCTGTCTCTCACCAAAGCCAATAAGTCCGAGTGTTTCCCCTCTGATGCGGGCGGCCCCTGACGCCACCTCTCGGATCTGCTCCACGCTCTGGACCCGTGTGCCCTCCCGCATGGCCTGGTACAGCCACGTGTTCCTCCTGTACAGGTTCAGGATGTGGCAAAGCGTCGAGTCTGCCGTCTCCTCCACAGCGGCTGATGGGATATTACACACTGCAATACCTGCAGACATACACAAATTCTCAGTCTGATTCATGGAAAGATTGATATTTACATATCTGAACATTCAAGACCTCAGATGGTCTATTCATACTGACAGTCAAGTTAACCATCATGGATTTGACCTGCAAGTTTCTCCAGACATCATTAAAAGGAGAAATGGAGATCATTATCCAGCCAGAACACCTTCTTTCTTGAACTCTAACCATATAAACTGTCTGTCCCAGAGGAACAATTAGTCCTCCAATACCTTCTTCTGTCTCTGAAAGACTTCAGACATCCAACTTTTCCTCACTACATGTGGAGAACTTTGTTTTTCTGAACCTAGATTCTCAGCTGAGCAGTATTTGATGTCAGGAGTGTGTTCTCTGTGATGCCAAGTATCACGCTATATAAACTCAACATCTTTATACATTCTACATTTCATTTGCTCCAGCTTTTCACAATATTATCAATGTTTTAAGTTTCTCACTACTCATTTTTCAGGTGTATATTATTGTCCAGAAATCTGTTGAAAGCAACACAAAGACAGTGTTGTCCCATGGTGCATGTGAAGGTTTTTATTCTTATTATTCTCATTATCTAAATGGGGCAAATCTACATGAGAGTTTCAGTGCAGCTTCAAAGGTCTTTAAACGACACCAGATGACGAATAAGCGTCTTATCTAGGACCCTTCCAGTCATGACTTAAGATTTGTTAATTATGATGAACGAGTTTGAACAGGAGAGTCACGAACGCGCATCACAGAACAGAGCAAGGCGAGCATTTGAGCTTATAAAACTTCAACTTTTTTATTTATTTTATTAAATGACCGATCGCTTCGCTTGATAAGACCCTTATTCATCGACTGGTGTCTCATTTGGACCTTGAACTGTTTGGTTCCCATTGAAGTCCATTATATGGAGAAAAATCCTGGAATGTTTTCATCAAAAACCTTAATTTCTTTTTGACTGAAGAAAGAAAGACATGGACATCTTGGATGACATGGGGGTGAGGAAATTATCAGCAAAAGTTTTTTTAAAAGTAAACTACTCCTTTAAGACTAAAAGTCGTGAGCAGGAAACATGTCTTGGCGTTTGTCACCCAATGCGCTTACCCATCTCTCCAGCTGCTTTAATGTCGATATTGTCATATCCACTACCGATGCGGATTATGATTCGTAGGGCTTTAAATTTCTCCAGATCTTCTCTGGTCAGAGTAATGGTGTGGTACATCATCGCCCCCACCGCCTCGTTCAACACCTGCCAGAGACACATTTATACCACACTATAAACATCAGGGCACAAAACTGGGGGATGTTTATTAAGCACACATAAATCATTTCTTTGTAGCATCCTGAGCCTGGGAGGAGTATGTGGGTGTAATGCATTTCTCATGATGAGTTTGCCATGCTCGTGTACATGTCTTTTAATGCATTTCCTTCCAGTTTGATAATTATTTGTTTTTTACTCTTTACAAAACCATATTCTGAACCAAATAGCAAAAAATTAAGTGACGTGACGGCCACGTAATACTCTGAATTTGTCGTCTGCATTTAACCGATCCAAGTTAGTGCATACACATTAGGAGCAGTAAGTAGAGAACACACACACACACTGCAAGCCATGGACACACACACCCGGAGCAGTGGGCAGCCATTTTGCTGTGGCACCCGGGGAGTGATTTGGGGTTAGATGCCTTGCTCAAGGGCACCTCAGTCATTTCCTGTCGGTATTGAGAATCGAACCTGTGACCTTCGGGTTACCAGTCTGACTCTAACCATTAGGCCACGACTGCCCCTATAAAACATAATATTAAACTTAACAGGGTAATTCAATTCAATGCAATGAAATTCTACACCTTTGTAACTGGGTCTGATAATTGGGTCACTATAAAATGAATCACAGCCTGCGTGTTTTTAAATGAACTCGTGTTTCTGGCAGAATTATGCTTTTGTTTAGCATGCATGTTATGTATTTATTATTGTCTGATTTAAAATTCAGCAGCAAAATCTGTTTGGTTGAAATGATTTGGTTCCTCGGAAGCTCGGAGGGAAGGAAGGAAGGAAGTTTGAAAAAAAGGGATGGAAAGAAGGGAAGAAGGAAAAGGAGGAAATGAAGGGAAGAAGAAAGGTTGGAAGGAAGGAAGAATGGAAATAAAAAAATAGGGAAGGAAGGAAAGAAGGAAGGTTGAAAGGAGGGATGGAAGGCAGGAAGGAAAAATAGGGAAGGAAGGAAAATAGGGAAGACAGAACGGAGGGTTAAAAAGAGGGAAGGAAGGAAGGTTGGTTTAAAGGAGATAAGGAAGGAATGAAAAATAGGGAAGGACAGAAGGTTAAAAGGAGGAAAGGGAGGAAAAATAGGGAAGGAAGGAAGTTTAAAAGGATGGAAGGAAGAATAGGGAAGGAAGGAAGTTTAAAAGGAGGGAAGAAAGGAAGGAAGGAAGGAAGGATGGAAGGAAAATTGTGGAAGAAAGGAAGTTTAAAAGGATGGAAGGAAAAAATAGGAAAGGAAGGATGTTTAAAAGGAGGGAAGGAAGGAAGAAAAATAGGAAAGGAAGGAAGTTTAAAAGAATGGAAGGAAGGAAAAATAGGGAAGGAAGGAAGGAAAAATGGGGAAGGAAGGAAAATTGTAGAAGAAAGGAAGTTTAAAAAGGATGGAAGGAAGGAAGGAAGGAAAAATAGGAAGGAAGGAAGTTTAAAAGGATGGAAGGAAGGAAAAATAGGGAAGGAATGAAGGTTAAAAAGAGGGAAGAAAGGAAAAATAAGGAAGGAGGGAAGGAAGGGAAATTGTGGAAGGAAGGAAGTTTAAAAGGATGTAAGGAAAAATAGGGAAGGAAGGAAGTTTAAAAGGATGGAAGGAAGGAAAAATAAGGAAGGAAGGAAGGAAATGGAGCAAACAGACCTTCTCATGGATCTCCTGCGTTGACTGGGCATCACAGAAGGCCACCGTGGCCAAATCCTTCAGGATGGGCATCTCGACGGTACAGTCCCTCCCGTCCAGCAGAGCGACCAGCGGCCGAGGGTGCATCGGGCCGTTCATGATCTGAGGCCTTATACCTGCCAAACACAGAGAAGAGCGTCAACTTCCCAATCACCCTCCCGCCATGGGTCTTGTTGTCATGGAGATTGCAGCATTTGGGCAGAGTTATGAATACATTTCATTTAATAGCCTTTGGGGGAAACATCTTGTTCTCTTGTTTCTCTCTTTTCACTCTCCACCATCCATTTAAAAATGACTTCAAATGAGAATTATTTACCATGGTATTATTAAAAAATAATTGTGTGGGAGATATTAAGGCAGCGTTGGGTCTCTCCGAGGGAAACGGAGTGGATGCGGGAGATCAGGGGTTTGGCACGCTTTAAATGAGCAGTGGACACATCAAACAGAAACACAAATGACATGGTGGAGCCATCACTACATCAGAGCGGGAGAAACCAGAGGGGGAAGGACAGACTGATGGGGCTCTCTCTCTCTCACACACACACAAACGCAATCCCCTTCATCTAGGTGCTCGACCAATCAACCGTGCCGACTGTTCATTTTCCAACCCATAAACAATTTCAGAGCTCATACAGCCTGCTCTAAAAGCTTTTTTGGACATGAACAGTGAAGGCAAACTTAAACTCAGGGATTTTTAAACAAACAGAGTCTGAGCAGTACAGCAGTACACAGCCATTATCCAATCAGAGGCCAGAATGGGGAATTATCCAATCAGAGAGCAGCAGGGGAAAATCTCAGCCCTACCCTTCAGCCATTCTCCACATTTACTCTGATCATAGTGCACAAAAGATCCCGACAAAACATCGATTTTAGAGATGTGAGGCTTTTTACTTGACTTGCCATCACAAATTCTCTCAATCTTTGCAGTTTTCTCCCAGCAGGGATCATTCACTTAAAAAAAAAATGAAATGAAAATACATATCCATATGTTGTTTCAAAACTCTCTTCTATGGAACACAGTAATATTTCTGAGAATTTTAGCATTGTTTTTTTCATGTCATGTGACCATCAAGCTGCAAATATGACAAACAAGAGCATCAAAAAATGTAGTTCATGTGGTTCATAAGTCATTTAAAATATATATTTTCGTCCGCCAAAGCTTTTGAATCTTGAATTTGCGTTCAAATATGGTGCATCGTACATTTAATATCAACAGTGCAAAGAATGATTTTCTTACTCTGGATTATTGTCTTGTTTTCCGTTACAAATATCGAACCCAATTTTGGGTCAAATAGGGACAAACTCAAACATTGGGTTGAAATGTTATTTAAAAATGTAATCAAATGGCTGTGTTTGTCCATATTTGACCCAAAATTGGGTTTAAAACAACCCAGCATTTTTTAGAGTGTAATATATATAATTATAATATATCTGCCCATGGGATGAGAAAAATAAAACAGTCCTCCCTTTGAAATTAGTTTATTTTTATTACCTCACCAGCATATTTCTTATTTTAAGAATAAACTTGCTTAACATTTTACAGGTAACAAGACTTTTGCTTCTCAACTAACCATTTCTAAATTCAAGACTGTTCAAATATTTGTACTAGAAAACAAGACAGAAATACTAAGTAAGAACATATATATTTTTTGTTCTTGCATGTCATGTGACCAATCATTGATGCAGAAAGTATAAAATTCATGTGAGATCAAAAGAGGAAGGGATACAAAGATAATCATGTTCATTTCAGTCTGCTCGTAATAAATGTGAATATTTACAATTAGTGCAGACCTTTTTGCCATAGTCTACATTTTACCAAACATCTCCATGTATGTTCAACAGAAGAAATAAAATCAAAGGTGAATAAATAATGACATTTCTAGTTTTGGGAGAACTATTACTTTAATGTATGTGAAACTAATTTGAGAGAGAGAGAGAGAGAGAGAGAGAGAGAGAGAGAGAGAGAGAGAAATGTAATACTCTCTTTGAAATCCCATGAACAATAAAAGTCTGTAAAAACAAAAGGAAATGAGAAGATTTTTCCATGGAGTTGCGTTGACGTGGATCTGTGCGCTTGTGTGTGTGTGTGTGTGTTAAATATGGCAGCGTGTATATCACACAGTATGTGTGAGTTTCCACACTTCTTAGGTGTGCCGCTGTGGTTTTAATAAGTGTGTACGTGTGTGTTTGTGTGTGTGTGTGTGTGTGTGTGTGTGTGTTACAAGCAATCTTGGATTTGAAAAAAACCTGGCAGCCAAGTGCCTCACCTCACTGTCAACTGCTGCTTATGGTTACCAAGCAACCTCATCTCTCACCGTCACACAAACACACACACACACACACACAAAAAGACACTTTTTGCCTCAAAGCAAATAGACACTTGCAGAAAAGGAGTTAAAATGGTCAGATCACTGAATGGCCGTCCAGATCCTGAAATAAACCAGGTGCATGAGTGTCTAATAAGAGTGTATCTGTGCTGCGTCACTTTTTCTTCTCTCTCCACCCCTCCTGATCTATTACCCAGGGATTTGGTTGGCAAACATGCACACACGCACTCACTAACGATAAGGAGCCAGGAACACAAAGCACTGTGCACACACATGCCGAACTAGTTTGCAGATGTGTCACAGACAGTAGCCAAGACATGCGCTTGTGACACCATCAAAAAGCAAGTACCGTGCACACACGCACACACACACACACACACACAACACACACTTTTGCTTTTGGCCAATTTCAGAAACATGCGTCTTGCCTGGAAAATGCTGCCTCCACATTCCTCCCATGAAGAGCAGCCCAAAAAAGAGGGGAGAAATAAAAATGGAGGGAGGCGGCAGAGAAAAAGCGTTCTCCTGTGATTGTGTCCTGGGGGTATCCCTCCTCTCGCTGCCTGTCTGTCGCTCGCTCACTCCCCCATATGAGGGTGAGCGGAGATATCTGCTCTTCTTCGCTCAGTAAGGAAAGCGTTCAGAGACGGACAGAAGAGCCTGTTGTTTTCATCCCTCGTTCTAGCCTCTCACTCTCGGCTTGTCCATCTTGATTGCCGTTTTCATCCCCCCCTTTCGTCTCGTTTTAGAACAGACCTCTCAAGGTTAAAAAGGAGAGGAATAATTACGCCTGGCCGAGTCGAGGAGAGTCACGGAAAGAGGGAGAGGGTCAAAAATTCCCACACGAGTGCCAGTGCAAACGAGTTGTGCCGTTCCACTCCTCACGCTTCCAATCACTCCCCCTTCTGTTGCTCTTTTTTTTCGACCCACTCCTTTTTTTTTTTCTCAACCGCACTCCCTTGCTCTCAAATTTATGATTTGGAGACCACAGTGGTTAGAGACTGCCAGCCTCTCCCTTCCACTCAAATCTGCTTTTCCTTTCTTTCTTTTATTAAGTTGGCTTGGGAAAGCCAACTTACTGAAATGCTATTTAAACTTATTAAGTTGGCTTGGGAAAGCCAACTTACTGAAATGCTATTTAAACTTATTATTATTATTCTTTTTCTGAGACTAAAATTTCCAACTCTAACTCCTCCTAGAGCTTTAACTCCACATACTCCAAACTCGGCACGGACACTCAAACTGTTCTGACTCGCGTTGCTATATCTTTTCTAACTGATCGGACTTACGGTTCTCCTAAAAATGACGATCAAAGTCGGAAAAAACTCCCATTGACTCCCATTGAGAAATTCAAACTGCCCAACTGTCAAAAATTCAAATCTAAATACCTTGAAGCCCCAGACTCAATCAAACTGTCATTCTATACACTATATGAGCCATTGAAACTCATTTAAACTAATGAACTCATCTATCTATGACACTTATCTATCTAATCTTAAACTCTTAAACTCAAACTAAATTAATAAACTCTAAACTTGAACTCTTAGACTCATTTAAACTTATAAACTCTAAACTCATAAACTCTAAATTCATAAACTCATACTCTTATAAACTCTCATAAAACTATTAAACTCATGAATTAATAAACTCTGGACACTTACTCATTTAAACTTATAAACTCTAAACTCATAAACTCTAAATTCACACCTTAGCAACCAGTTACAGCACCCTAGCAACCGTAGGCCATAGGCACGAGGCCGCAGGCCTCGTGCAATACTAAATATTGCTGATTTCTCAGAAACTTGTAATGTACCACATTTGAAGAGGCTGACAGGCTCTGTAAGAAAATACCTCACAGTGGGGGAATAGTTGCACCCCTGGGGGACAGGAGCTGCCCAAACTTGCCCCATAGACTTATTATGGTGTACACATTGCATTAGGGTTTTATATTGAACATAGCTCTGGATCACAGTGTCATAGAGACAAGGGGGCGGGCTCATTTTACTCAGACGACCAATCAGTCTCTCAGGATTACTGTGAAGCTATCAAGCCACGCCCTAGCAACCATTTAGAGCACCTTAGCAACAACTCCCATAGACTTCCATTGAAAGAGATTGAAGGGATATCTCCGGATAGAAGTGTCATAGAAACATGAGGGTGGTCTCATTTGACTATGGGTAGCAAACAGCCAACCATGCATCACCTCAACAAATTCTGGCCACGCCCTAGCAACAATTAACGAGCACCTTAGCAACCAAATTTTAAAGAGGGATATCTTCCATTCTGAATGTCATAGAGTCATGAGAGTTGATTTATATCATTTATAGTGACAAGCAGCCTTTGGAGATTCATCGCTGCCAGCTGCCAAGCCACTCCCTAGCAACTAAACAGAGTACCCTAGCAACCATTAAGCAAGATTTATATCTCTGCATCAGAACAATGTATAGAGATGGGGGTTGGTTTAAATCATTCATACTGACAAGCAGCCTTTGGAGTTTGATGATTGGCAGCTGTCAAGCCAATCCCTAGCAACCAAAGAGAGGACCCTAGCAACCATTTTTTAACAGCTATATCTCAGAATCAGAACATTGTATCGCGATGGGGGTTGGGTCTTTTGACTCATGCTAGCACACAGGACTTTCAATATGCTAAACATGCTAGCTGTGAATAGCTAAATGCTAATATGGATACTTTATAGTAACCATATGTGAACACTACCAACCAAGTAGCAATACCATAGCAACCACCTAGGACACCCTAGCAACCACCTAGCAACACCATAGCAACCA